GCCAGCCTCGCCTGAGCGGTGCAAGTGGCTGCTTGCTTATGGGAGTGGGCAAACCCACGTCCCACGTTCTAAATGATGGAGCATGGCTCTCATTATCCCTAAGCGGTCACATCCCACGGCTATAGAGGAATGTATGATGCTCCTCACCCATGAGCGGTCACATCCCACAAGTCAAGGGATTGACCATGCCTTTCCTTAACTATTTATAAGCCACCTTTGGCAACATGAAGGGGGCTGGGTGGGCTTGATTGACTTGGCATTTTTTAAGACTCTACAATCAGAGACTTGTGCTACTTGGTCGGCTTGATATCTTAAACTTGGAAGTTTGGCATTCTAAGAATCGGGCTTAGCCTCTTAAGAGCTTGGCTAGATATCCTTAAGCAGAAGCTTTGATTGTTGAAGTAGACTCAATCTGAACTCTTGGATTTGAGACTCTTAGCTCTTTGCAAACTCTTGTATATTAGCATTCTCTAAGCATTTGACATTGACATTCATCAAGCTCAGGTAATCGAACTCAATCACATAAGAGCTCCTACTGTGTATTGAAGCTCAACCACAGTTTTGATCGGATCGTCCAAGTAAAGCAAACTCGACGCAAGCATTTGAGGGAAGAGTCCTATCACTACCGAAGAACCCATGTTAAACAAGAAGGGCATTCTCTTCTCTTCTGTTGTAATTGTTGATCCTTAGCTTGTAATAAGTCATTCTTATTAATACAAACGATCCCTTTTCGGGAGTCAATTTACGCCCTACAGTTAAAAGTAACTTATGATTCATATATTGAATAATTTCTCATCACCTGCTAATTAATAAGCAAACAGCTATTAGAGCTAACATGAACATAGATGAAAATATTGAACATTTTCCAGATATAGGTAACATATATTAACTAAAGTTAACAAGTACTCAATATAGTTAATAGATACTAGCTAAAGATAACAAGCGCTCAATATGTACTGGTTGTAGTTAATAAACAATATCAAAAGTTAATAGGTATGAACATAGTTAACGGGAACTTGTTAAAGTTAACATGTAATGACTAAAAGTAATAGGTATATAATATGGTTAACATGTACTGGTTAAAGTTAACATGTATTAGATACGAGGACCTAAAACGTAGCAAAATGAGGTCAATGGACAATCATCTTAATTGAGTTTTGCTTCAATTTTTTTTTTGTTTGTATAGATTAAACAATTTGATGATTTTCATAATGAGATTAATCTATTTTGTTAACCATTGAATTAAATATACGCCAAGTACTCTGATTGAAGCAAACAACAAACACATTGTATGTGGTTTTATAAGAACACAATCATAGCACATAAATACATCTCGCATTTATAAAAGTTTTACCAAACTAGTCCGATAAGCAGTTCGTCAAATCACATTAACTTCTTCAAAGAAATAATCAAAACTTTCAACTTAGAGGGCACGTATCATAGCATTTCCTCAAATACTTGGCATTCATAAATTTTTAGCCCAAGTAATGTCGTTTTAACACGCATGTCAACCATCCACCTCACAAAGCATTTCAACAAGCAACACACATGTCCCAAAAACCTCATTATCCTTATCTTCCTCCTTTGTTACCAACTACATCCAAGTCTTAACCCTGACCTTCATCTCCTAACTGCCTTCTACCCCTCTTGCAAACCACGCTCCATCACCAAATCCATCCATACTCCTCTTGACCTCCCTTTTCCATCCTCCTCACCATGGACCTCTCAGTAGTTCGATAAACTCGACCTCTCCTTCCTTCTCTCCTTCTCCTTCTCCGTGCTCCTCTCCGTCCATCTCGCTAACCACTTCTCCATTTTTTTCCAAAGTTATCATCGAATAAAATATATGTGATCATATCCATAAAATCAACCAACCTATTAAGTTCAATATGAACATACAATACAAAGAATTAGATTATTTTTTTGGATGACAATGACATTGAAAATGAAGGGAAAATAATTATGTGTTAGTTGTATAAACTTGCCGTTGCATGCACATAACCTACTACAACGGTGATGCCAAATTAATGGCAAATATTGATTGCGTACCTTATCTTATTACTGTAAAGGACAACGAATTCATGATGAATATTAGTTGGTTGTCTTTGTAAGTAATCAAAATATAGTCA